CTAGCAAGAATACACGCCATGTTTATTACAACAGGAAGGGTTTCTACAGCTTGAATGCTTTGATTGTAAGTTCTATTGATGTGCCAGGAAGAAAATTTCATAATCCTTTACAATGTTTAGAAATTGTTTTCAGGCTTGTGATCATAATTATATGATACGATTCATAGAAGCCAGATATCCAGGATCTTATCATGACGCCTTCAGCTGGAACATTTCCGCATTAAGGCAAAAAACGTACGAGGCATATGAAGGCGGCGAGCGACATACTTGGCTTCTCGGTAAGACTCTTTTTTTTAGCATTAGTAATTCAGTAAATAACATTCTTGTTCACTTTCAAAAAATAGTATTGCTTGCATCGCACCAAACTCGTCTGTTTTTCTGACTTTGCAAAGTGCTGAAACGGTAATAAAACCAACAATCAATATGAAACTATCGATTTGAAATTGGCTCACTACTTGACTAGCCTATTGGTCCCAAGTAAATCGATTAACGTATCCCATTCTAGTCAAAATTCTAGTACTACACAATGTTTGTTTTTATTCGCTATGAAAGTTTGACAGTTAAAATGAGGGGTTAGTGAAATTTCCTATGTTTCGAGGGGTGAATCGATTAGCTTGGGACCGAAGATAGTACCAGAGCTGAGCCAAAAAGTAGAGCTCATTTCTTCGGGACCTACTAGTCTTAGGGTTACCTCTATGATAAAACTGTGCTTCTGCAACCAATCGTCTTGATTCAGGGCAGTTATTCCTCACGGAGCAAGCAATAAGTGCTATGAAGGTATACGAGACGATTCGACATAAAATAGCACTTTTACTTTTCAAAATCAGTCAAATAGTCTAGTTTAGTGAGAAGTATACAATAAGATGTACCTTGAAGTTGTCAGAATTTTTGGGTTCAATCAAAAATCTTAATTGAGGGGGTTGGAAGCAAAGGGGTGCAAGTGATTTTGCGCGATGCTTTTCATCGACTTTTTTTTAATAACCACGCCTAAACAAACTAGTTTCGCGCTATTTCGGCCACATAGCTTGCTAAAATAGATTCTCATTCAGCATTCAGAATGGTAAGCGCATCTAGAAATGTGTTTGCAACCGAATTATTAACGAAAGAGAAAATCAATGAAGAGAATTTCTCAAAATCACTTACCGTGAAGTGCCCTAATTCCGTTCAGCGCCTAATTCCGGTCATTTTTGGTTTTATTTGCAATACATTGGAAAGTTTTCTTAATTAAATATTTTTCCAATATAACATTTGTTAATATCTTCTTGCACATTTACCTTAATTTGAGATGTTTACATTTTACATTATTTTGGAATTTTTCAAAAATCATTGGAATAAGGGGCTTAGGTGAACGGTATATGGGTACTTTACGGTACACCCCTTGCTTCTAACCCCCTCTTTTTTTTTATTGAACTAACCGAATTTGATGTAAGCGGCATGAAATAGACATTCTATAAACTGCCCATAATCGCATAATTGTCCCATCTTTGCTTGGTTTCCTATTCATATAGGACAGTTATGCGATTATGGGCAGTAAACGTCTCGGATGTTCGATGAATTAACCGGAGTAATATTGCAGGACTTGTTAACAATCTTTCTGATTGACTTTTATATTTACAGGTGATGCTGGCTTTCCACAAGAACATGTGTTGCTAACGCCATACAGGAATGCTCAAGTTGGCAGTCGTGAACAACATTTCAACCACAAGCATAGTCAAGCTAGAAGCATTATAGAGAGGGTTATTGGCATACTGAAATCTCGATTTCGTTGCTTGCTAGGAGCCAGGGAACTACATTACAGTCCAACGAAGGCAACGTCGATCATAAACGTTTGCGTTGCTCTTCACAATATATGTCGAACTTGCAGAGTAGAAGACCCACCAAATGAAGCTATTCAAAGTATCGTTAACGAAATTGATAACCCTTACAACGGTAGCGAGGAAGATAGTGCAACTAGAATCAGGGATAATATAAGAGATTGTTTGTGATGTTCTTGCAAAGTGGTAGATATGGCTCAATCATGATGAAGAATATTTATATACCGATATATTCGTTCTGACAATACATTATTCTGATATGTACATATTTTGATTGTTTCTTTAACATTAATCGTTCGAATAGAAAATATTCCTAGAATCACATTCCCTGCTAAGTTTGTAAAGGTTTACTTGTACATTGTATATTATTTTATTCTGTCGATTTATTCCTCAACTTTTTTTTTTTTTTTTTTTTTTTTCTTTATTATAGAGATTTTTAGCCTGAGGCTAGTTCATCTCTTATTATTCCTCAACTGCTTCAAATCTAACTTTCGTTTCTTTCTGTTTAAGTTCTAGTTCTCTAACTTTCAGCTTCCTTTTTTCTAGGTTATCTAAAGCTTTCTGCCTTGCGTTATCTTTCAAAATTTTATTTTGTTCGTTTTGTGCACCCACAAGTTGTTGTAAGCTTTTAGCGATTTTGTAAGTAGGGGAAAAGTTGGCTTCGGCAATACCTTAACCTATTATCGTCAGGGGGTAAACAACGTCCTTGAGAGCTCATTTTTGGCATGTGGATACATTATGTTTCAGAGCAACTATTGGCCAAATTTGAGTGCTCTAGGACTTTGTTTACCCCCCTGACGAAAATAGGTTAAGGTATTGCCGAAGCCAACATTTCCCCTATTTTCATAGAGTTTTTTTTATTTTTTTCAGCGTTTCCTCCTGCATGCCAGTTTGTTTAATCAGCAAGGCACCCCGTTCTTCTATAGCTGTTATCCGACGACTCTGCCTACGACTGGAATGACCATTAGAATGGACTGCCGGTAGTTGGTCTTGACAAATCTCATCAAATCTCATCTGTCGTGCCGTTGTTGATTGCGGAAGAAACAGATGCTGCAGGGGCGGAGAGGCTTCAAGGGTCATCATTATGCTCCACAGTGGGAGGAGTATTTTCATTGTCGTTCAAATCAGAACGTTGATCGCACCCAAATGAATTGCCTGCCGGGTTCATATTGGCACATATACTGAGAAGTATATCAATTTCTTGTTGCAGCGCGGTGAGTTGTCTGATTTTGTTAGGACCCCCACCTGTTGCTCTGAATTCTTGCTTGTTATCTGCCAGGATTTTTTTCACCTTTCCCTTCATGTCAATCCAAACCTATCAGAAATTGGATTGAAAAAATTGTATAGTAAATCGATTGCTATTTAATAAATGCTAATGCTGATGGAACTGGAAGAGTCAAATGGAAGCGGAAGTAGAGAACAAGAATGACATTGATTGGCGATATGGTGGGAAGAGAGTATTGGGCTCGGGTATACACAAACCAAGCAGAGGGGAGAAGTTAGCAGAGACTGGGTCATGAATCTCAAATATACTAGTGTGGTATTGAGTGATATTTTATCTACTCATGCAAAGTGGGATATGTTACTTACTTTTTGCCAATCTGATCCAGTGCGATATGGTGGCCCTAATGCATCCAGTTCCACACCGATTTCAATCCACTTTTGTTTTACGTCGGCTTTGCTCACTCCTACTTTACAAAACCCTTTAGCAATGTCCGAATTCTCCTTCATCAGCTCTACGAGCCGTTCGAACTGACGGGAGGTGGTTTTTTAACAGTTGTCATCTTTCACCGTACTTCTGGAAGTAGTGTTTTTTTTATACAATTGATATTTTTCAGTAATGTAATTGGTAGTTTTAATGGGTTTTAATAAAAACTCTTACCTCGTTAAGCAAATTTGTAGAAAAAAACACTACAATGTCTCACACCAAGCGGTAAAATAACAACAAACTCAACTCGACAGAATGTGAGTGAGAGATGAGTCACTACCTGACGAGTGACTGATTCAGTCGAGCTACTCGACAGCGTCGCGTCGAGTCGACTGCTGCATAATACCAAAATAGTCCTGTCGAGTCGAGTGACGCTCGACTCGACTTACATAATTTGGGCCCTATAAACCTGTCATTTCTAGCCTATCTGAACTATTTAATAAATAGAAACCATAACAAGGGTTACGCTCCTCCTAAGCGGGCCCTCCGCATCCTATCTCTGTCTTATCTCAAATGCCAATGGTTTGAATGTATATATACATTGGAAATGTCGTTCAATCAAATAAACCCATACCCCACTCACTTGGCCAGGCTTCAGAATCGTCCAGTGGGCAGTGCGCTCTACACTCCAAGTTCCCTTTCTTTCAAATTTACCCCAAATTTTATATTTTACCCCTGTTGAGGCACCGGTGACGTCACCACCGAACGCGCAGCTACAAATACACGCACAACCGTTGGAGCGTACCTAACTGCAAGTAGCCGACCTAAAAGGATTATCATAATGTTCGGGAATCAAAACAAACGTGGAAAATTATATAGACCCAAAGAGGTAATAAGTAAATCTTATAATATAATTAGTGGCTTTTACAAGTGAAAATATATTGTTGAAATAAGGAAAATATAGTGGGAAATACCTTATAACGGAGCAAGTAAGTTGTATTACTGAAAGTACAATATTATAAAGTAATATTAACATTTAATTTTGTAATAAGTAGTAAAGGCAGTATAGCCATAGAGGTAACTCTAAGACACGAAGGTCCCGAAATAATGTGCTCAGCTTTTTGGCTCAGCTCTGGTACTCTCTTCGGTCCCAAGCTAATGATTCACCCCTCGAAACATAGGAAAATCCAATAACCCCTCATTTTATCTGTCAAACTTTCATAGCGAATCAAAACAAACATTGTGTAGTACTAGAATTTCGACTAGAATGGGATACGTTAATCGTTTGCTTGGGACCAATAGGCTAGTCAAGTAGTGAGCCAATTTAAAATCGTTAGTTTCGTATTGATTGTTGGTATAGCTGCTAAGAAGAGACAGCATATAAAGGACTGATTTGTTCAGGAAAAACTACTCATGTAAGTGAAACAAAATGAAATCAAAATAGTTTAAACTAAACAAATATATTTACAGTTTTGAGCTGTGTGAAAACAACACTGCTGCAAAAATTTAGTTTTTAACTGATCCGAACATCCTCAAAAATGAGTACTAATAAAGGGGACGAATCTAACCTCAACCCGGACGAGACGGCATACAACTGCGCGATTTGTACCCGTCCGGACCATGACGAGGATCAGATGGTGTTTTGTGAAAGCTGCAAGAAATGGTTCCACTTCAGTTGTGCCGGAGTTGGAACGACCGTTGAATACGATGAGAAATGGAGATGTTCTACGTGCCAGGGTGAAGAGACGGATGATAGTGAATCGGAAGATGACGATGACGCTATTCCCGTTGACGATAGTGTTGATGACCAACACAATGCCAGTGCGAAATCTACCCCGGATGACGAGAAAGAGATTGCGAAAGCAATGGAAGCAGTGAAGAAGGAGAAAGAGTGTCTGAAGAGGAAAATGGAGCAGAAGCTGGCATTGGCTAAAGCGAAGATGGAGCTGGTAAACGAGGAGATGGAAATGCAGTGGACTTTGGAGAAGCAAATCATGCAAATGAAGATTGCTTCGGAGAGGAAGTTTCAAAAGAAGAAGGAAATGGAGAAAAAACAGCTGCAGAAGGAACTCGACGAACTTAGCGAAGGCAGAAAGCGGAGGGAAATTGAAGTGGAGAAACTGGAGAAAAAGAAGAAGAAGCGTGAAACTTCCAAAGGAATAAAGGAAGTAGAAGGAAAAGTACCAGTAAGTTCCACTCCAATAATAGATCCAAAGCCATCTACGTCCAAGGATGAGATGAAGAAGAAAATGAAGGTCAAGATGGTACCCGTTGCGAAGCAGGCAGCGAAGAAAGAAGAGGAGGAAAGCGATAGTGGCGACGCTAGTTCGAACGATGGACAATCAAACGATTCCAACGAGGACAGTAGCAGTACGGGTTCAGAAGAAGAGGATGAAGACAAGGATCAGAAGAAAAGTAAGCGGAAGAATAAAAGGGATGAAGAAAACCCAACGAAGGCACAGATTTCGGCACGGCAGTTCCTTTCACGAAAGCTGCCAACATTTACCGGTCGGCCGGACGAGTGGCCAATTTTCATCAGCAGTTTCAACACCACGACGAAGGCTTGCGGGTTTTCAGATTTGGAGAACCTTGCTCGTTTGCAGGAGAGTTTGAGAGGGCCTGCACGGGAGGCAGTTTGCAGTCGGATGTTATTGCCAGAAGCAGTTCCGCAAATCGTCGAAACGTTGCGGATGTTGTACGGGAGGCCGGAACAGCTGCTGAGCACGTTGCTGGTGAAGGTGAGAAAAGCAGATCCACCGAAAGCGGACCGACTTGGTACGTTCATCAGCTTTGGGATGGTGGTCCAGCAATTATGTGACCATCTCGAAGCAACACAGCTTAACGACCACCTGGTGAATCCTCTGCTCATCCAGGAGCTGGTCGATAAACTACCACCTGGGACAAAAATGGACTGGGTTCGGTTTAAGAGACAACACGAGAGAGTTACGCTTCGGACATTAGCTGACTTCTTGTCTGAACTGGTATCTACTGCCAGTGAAGTGACTGGAATCGTCGAAGCACCATTGAATCCAACCGGTAATCGTTCCGCTAAGGCCAAAGGAGGAAGATCGAAAGAGTACGAGAGCCACGTCAACTCACACAGCGAAGAATCACCGAGAAAACCGGAGTATTCAAGAACGCCGTGTCCAACGTGTGGGCGTACTGATCATCGGCTGAGAAACTGCGACGAATTTCGAAAGATGGGAGTTCAACAACGCCTGGAGGTTGTTGATCGGTTCGATCTATGTCGATCATGCCTAAATGCCCATGGGAAGAGTTGGTGCAAAGCGAACATTCGGTGTAAGGTTGAGAGGTGTCAAGGGCAACACAATACCATGCTTCATCAGCAGCCAGCTGAAATGCGATCGGACTGCAATGCTCACAGTGCGAATCAGCAGCTACCGATAATTTTCCGGATGATTCCAGTGACGTTGACCTTCGGAGGGAAATCAATTAACACAATGGCCTTTCTCGACGAGGGTAGTTCTTTCTCGTTGGTGGAAAGCTCCATCACGAACCAGTTGAAGGCGACTGGGAAACCACAGCCACTACGTGTAACGTGGACAGCTGGAATGACGAGGTTAGAACGGGAGTCAATGGTGCTGAATCTGACAATTTCTGCCGTCGGATCGAAGGAACTGTTTTCGATGGAAAAGGTCCACACAGTGGAGGAGCTCAAGTTGCCTGTACAGTCGTTGAACTACCAGGAATTGGTGGAGCGGTACAGCCATCTTCAAAACCTTCCGTTGGCTGAATACACGAACGACTCACCGAAAATATTGATAGGTTTGAAACATCTACACTTGTTCGCACCCATCGAATCCCGAATCGGTCAACCAGGAGAGCCGATAGCTATCAAATCCAGGCTTGGCTGGACAGTTTATGGTCCTCAAGAAGGAGGTAGTCTACGAACTGCATACATTGGTCATCATTCATGCGCTGGGGTGTCCAATCAGGAGTTGCACGATCTGCTGAGGTCGCAATATGTACTCGAAGAGGCGGGAGTGTCAGTGGAAGTTTTGCCTGAGTCAGCTGAAGATCGACGGGCCCGCGAGATTCTAGAAAGTACAACGCAGCGAGTTGGGGACAGGTTCGTAACTGGACTGCTGTGGAAGGAAGACGATCCATCATTTCCGGACAGTTATCCGATAGCAGCACGCCGGATGAAGAGTTTGGGTAAACGCTTGTCACAGAACCCACAGCTGCTACAAAACGTTCGCAACCAGCTTATTGAATATCAAACCAAGGGATACTGTCACAAAGCGACTACGTATGAGTTATCGGAAGTTGACCCCAAGAAGGTGTGGTATCTCCCCCTCAACATCGTGATCAATCCAAACAAACCGAATAAAGTTCGGATGGTATGGGATGCCGCTACTTCTGTTAGAGGTGTATCGCTGAATTCAAAGCTGCTTAAGGGTCCTGATTTCCTCACATCGTTGCCGTCGGTAGTGTGCAAGTTCCGGCAGTACAGTATCGGATTCGGTGGAGATATCCGTGAAATGTTCCACCAGCTGATGATTCGTCCGGAAGATAAGCAAGCTCTAAGGTTCATGTTTGACGGAGAGATTTACGTAATGGACTGCGCGATATTCGGAGCTACGTGCTCGCCAAGCCAGGCACTCTTCGTGAAAGATCGCAACGCCAGTGAGTTCCTGATGCAGTTTCCAGATGCCGTGGATGCGATTGTCAACCGACATTATGTGGACGATTATTTTGATAGCACAGAAACTGTCGAGGAGGCGGTTAAAAAGGCAAACGAGGTCCGGTACATCCACTCAAAGGGTGGTTTTGAAATCCGAAACTGGGTGTCGAATTCTACCGAGGTACTCCAGCAATTAGGTGAGTCAAAAAGGAACCAAATTGTTCATTTCCATACCGATAAGGCTACGGGTTGTGAGCGGGTTTTGGGTATCGTCTGGGACCCTCAAGAAGACGTGTTTACATTCGCTTTGAAGTTGCGAGAGAATCTGCAACCGTACCTGCCTGGGAGTGAGCGTCCAACAAAACGAATCGTGTTGAGCATCGTGATGAGTCTATTTGATCCGTTAGGCCTGCTGACGATGTTCACCATCCATGGTAAGATGCTGATTCAAGACTTGTGGCGCACAGGCTGTGAGTGGGATGAAGTGGTTGACGATGAGAGCTTCGAAAAGTGGAAAAAATGGACAGCGCTGTTACCGGACATTGAGCAAGTAAAAATTCCCCGTCACTATTTCAGTGGTGGCGAATCACTGGACTACGATTCACTGCAACTCCACGTGTTCGTAGATGCCAGTGCAGGTGCATATGGCTGCGTGGCATACCTTCGAATGCTAGTTGATGGGAATCCTCGGTGTAGTTTGGTACAAGCTAAGTCCAAAGTGGCACCACTGAGGCCGTATTCAACGCCACGTTTGGAGCTGATGGCAGCAGTTTTGGGAGCAAAAATGGCCGAAACCGTAAGGACAAATCACAGTTTGTGCATCAACCGTGTACAGTTCTGGACTGATTCAAGCACGGTGTATTCTTGGATCGTGTCGGATCATCGGAAATACAAAGTGTTCGTCGCATACAGGATCGGTGAGATACTAAGCAAGACGAACTCATCGGATTGGCGCTGGATCCGAACAAAGTTGAACATTGCGGATGATTTGACCAAGTGGAAGGAAGGAACCAGGATCAAATCGAACAGCCCGTGGTTCATTGGTCCTAAGTTCCTGTACGAGGCGGAGGATACCTGGCCACATCCGGAGCCACCGAGACCGAATGTGACGGAAGAGTTACGAGCCAGTTCACTGTTTCACAGAATCAAGGTTACAGGGCCGCTGATCGACTGTGGTCGTATTTCGAAGTGGAATATCGTCGTTCGCACGGTAGCAAACGTTCTGCGGTTCATATCGAACATTCGGCGGAAGCAGCAAGGCTTGCCAATAGAATCTCTACGAGCTGATGCCAGAGTAATGCGATTAGGCAGAGGGTCCGCAGTAGCAGTAGAACGTCCGTTGTCGAGAGAGGAGTACCAAGAGGCGGAACGTCATCTGTGGAAAATGGCACAAAGTGAATCTTTCGCGGACGAAGTGAAGATGTTAGTTAGATGCAGAAAAGGGAAGTGCGAGGCCATTGATCGTTCCAGCAATCTGTTCAAGCTTTCACCCGTGCTGGACGAGTATAATGTGATGCGAATGGATGGCAGAGTACAAGAGGGAGAGTTCGTTCCATTTGAGCTACAGTTTCCGGTAATCCTACCAAAGGAGCACCCGGTGACGATCAAACTGATAGAACACTATCACCAACTATTCGGTCATGGGAACCATGAAACTGTTGTAAACGAGTTAAGGCAACGTTTCTACGTCCCAGGAGTCCGCAAAGAGCTGAAAAAAGTTGTGAAAAGCTGTATGTGGTGCAAGATCCATAAATGCAAACCGGTGGTTCCAAGAATGGCTCCGCTTCCAAACCAACGAACTACTCCTTTCGTTAGACCGTTCAGCTACACCGGAGTTGACTTCTTCGGCCCGATCAACGTAGTGGTTGGGCGTCACACGGAAAAGCGTTGGTGTGCTCTTTTCACTTGTTTCGGAACAAGAGCTATCCACCTAGAAGTCGTGCATAGTCTGTCGTCGCAGGCATGCCTGATGGCCATCCGGCGTTTCGTCTGCAGGCGCGGAGTTCCTATTGAATACTTCTCCGACAATGGGACGAACTTTGTAGGTGCAAGCAAGGAAATCGTAAAGGAGATCAAACTGGACTGTTTTGAGGAGCTAACGAGCTCAAGAACCCGATGGAACTTCAATCCACCATCGGCACCTCATTTCGGTGGAGTGTGGGAACGACTCGTTCGTTCGGTCAAAGAGGCGATGAAGGTGTTGGATGACGGTCGCAGACTGACGGATGAAATACTCCAAACTACGCTGGTTGAAGCAGAAGATATAGTTAACTCCAGACCACTAACTTACGTTCCTCAAGAACCGGGAAATACTGGGTCGATAACTCCCAATCATTTCTTGAGGGGACTTCCATCAAGTGGAACAGAGGGTTACGTACCGCCGAGCAACGAAGCTGAGGCACTACGGGATAGCTACAAAAGGTCGCAGTTACTGGCTGACCGCATATGGAAGCGGTGGTTGTCTGAGTATTTACCGATCATCAACCGACGTACAAAATGGCATACCGAACAGATCCCACTGGAAGTAGGTGAAGTTGTGTTTGTAGCAGACGACGATAACAGAAAGTGCTGGGTTCGAGCAGTTGTGGAGGAGGTCGTCCAAGGAGCCGATGGACGAATCCGACAAGCCGTGGTACGCACAGCCAAGGGCACTTACAGGCGTCCGGTAGCAAAACTTGCGGTGCCGGAGATCCGTATTAGTAAATCTGGTTCCAGCGGGGATCCTGCACCAGTGTTACAGGGAGGGGCTGTTGAGGCACCGGTGACGTCACCACCGAACGCGCAGCTACAAATACACGCACAACCGTTGGAGCGTACCTAACTGCAAGTAGCCGACCTAAAAGGATTATCATAATGTTCGGGAATCAAAACAAACGTGGAAAATTATATAGACCCAAAGAGGTAATAAGTAAATCTTATAATATAATTAGTGGCTTTTACAAGTGAAAATATATTGTTGAAATAAGGAAAATATAGTGGGAAATACCTTATAACGGAGCAAGTAAGTTGTATTACTGAAAGTACAATATTATAAAGTAATATTAACATTTAATTTTGTAATAAGTAGTAAAGGCAGTATAGCTGCTAAGAAGAGACAGCATATAAAGGACTGATTTGTTCAGGAAAAACTACTCATGTAAGTGAAACAAAATGAAATCAAAATAGTTTAAACTAAACAAATATATTTACAGTTTTGAGCTGTGTGAAAACAACACTGCTGCAAAAATTTAGTTTTTAACTGATCCGAACAACCCCTTTGAGTGTTGATTAATCACAATGAAACATTGTCACAGAGCACGGACTTGAGGTTACTAGTAGAGTATTAAATAATCAAGGTCCTATTTAGGATTATATCTGAAAAATCCAAATTTGGCCAACGCCCACCACTCGGCTCGACTTGCATAATAGTGCCCCATTATTCTACTTGTAAAAACAAAACATAATGTAGCTTGGATACTCTGATAATAGCAGCTTGTGAAAAGACGTCTAGATAGCTCGAAGGCTGAAGCCAAACTAAGATGGACAGTTCTCTTACACCTGAAACAAAAAAAAAACTCCTTCTGTCGAAAACGGACGAAAAAAATGCTTTATTTCCGCCTTTGATTCAGTTTCAACTACATAACGACACACTCACCATTATTTCATATTTCCGGTGATGATGGTGATGCACTAGTGTGTGCTACAGTTGTTATTACAATGTGTTTTTACTTCAATTAATAGATATAGCTCTTAAAACTAACACTTACGTTAGTAAATGGTTGTAGATAGATAATAGATTAGCTGTTTTTTTGTTGTTGTATCCATTTTCTTTTTTCTTTCTCTCATTGTTGACTAAACGATTCGAACAAATAATATTTGGGACTTACTTTAACAACGCATTCGAACAATATCTTCGTTTCTCTAAAAGTAGTAAATATCAAGAACACACAATAAAGGATAGAAATTTAGTGCATGACTTAAACGATAATCATAATTAGGGATAGCGCTCTCGAAAACGAAATTTTGGAACGAAACAAACGGAATTATCAGTAGTTAGTATTTATCACTCGAACGAAGAAGACCCTTGAGAATATTAATCGCTATTTTGCTTCCGTATGTAAATGCTTTTGCTGACTTTTATGCTAGAGTATGAAACAGTTTTACTCTTCGGTTTTTGCTGCTGTTGTTGTTGTTGTTTTCTGAGGATTGGCTTGCGTGAAAATAATAATCCATGGGCTATTTTTTTGCTGAGAGAATAGCTCAAGTGGTTCTGTTTCTTCTTCTCTCCTGCTGCTGCTGCTGCTCCCGCATTTCTAAGTCTTTTCAAGGTTCTTTCTTGGGCGTAAATCGCAACGAGGTTTCTTGACGGACCACTTACCTGCTGCTACCGTTGGTGCTGCGTTCTGTTCAATCTGCCTTCCGAGATTTGCGTTTTCGTACATCCGGACTGCCGGCGTTGGTGTCCTTTTTGGTTTCCTCCTTTGGACTGGCCTTCGGTGAAGGGGCTGGAGAATCTTTCTCTTGCTTTACGGCGTCGTCCTTTTGCTCGCTCTCGGGGGCTGCTTCTTCCGAGTCCGATCCGGAGTATTTTTCCCCATCGGATGTTTCGTCCACATCTTCCTCATCTTCTTCGTCTTCGTCTCCTATTTCGTCTAGGACTCCGGCGACTTGTTCGTCTTCGTCTTCCAGCTCATCACCCTTGATTTCCTCGGCAACTATCTCATGCTGCAGGTTCTTCTTGTGCTCGGAGAAGCTCTTGCGTTGGGCCGATTTCGGAGGGAACATGAAGTCGATTACACACACCAAGATCAGTCCGAGGATGGCACCGAGAAGGATGGTTCCGATGGCAAACAGGGCGTACGATCCCCACACGGGCAGGCCGTACTCCTTCGAGAGCATCGTGTTGACTTCCTATTGGAGGGTGGGTACAAAGAAACAAGAAACAATGGACGTTAGTCGATTCAGCTGGCCATTCACACTGGACTTACCTTGAAGTAGTCTTTACTTACTTTCAAGAAGTGCGACAGCTTGAAGAACTGCGACACCAGCGACATCTGGATGGAGTCCGGTTTGCTCCAGGCCGATACCGGTTCCAACTGTTGCCATTTCTTCTCCTCAACGAAGGTCATCAGCGAATTCAGATCACGGGGTCCCTTGTATTGGCGGAATTCTCCTTTCAGGACGTGGAATATTGTTGGCAGCGCAGTCACAAAAAATCTTCCGCTCAATCCGGGCGAGGTCGTCACATCGACCTTGGCTGTTTTGATGTTCAAATCATCGGACCAGGTCGACAGATCGTCCCACACAGGAGCAAGATTCTTACATGCCGGACACCAGGGAGCGTAGCTGTAATTCAACACAAACATCAAACACTCGAATCCAACCAGACTCGAAGACAGGCACTTACAATTCCACCAGCCATTCCTCCGTCAACATCCGGTCCCAGTTGCTTTCGTCAAGTTCAATCACCTGCGACTTGGCAGCGCTGACCGAATTCATCCATCCGACGACTCCAAGCACCACCAGCAGCGCCGCAATTCGGCCCACTCGGAAACGCATCTTTCTTCCTTTATTTTCCCTTACAACGCACTTCCCAGTTCCAAACTCGAACCTCGAAGTAGCCACAAGAGTCACGGGAAAAAACGTGGAACCCACAGACGGAATTTTCAATAAATTTTCCACTCTTTTCTGGAATGAATTCTTTTTCACCTCGGTGGCACTCTTGTTCTTTTTTTCACTCTCTAGTTGTAATAATACTGATGACTGATTCACTGTGTATGCTCACTGCTGTGCGAACGAAGAAAAATGATGTGCGTGTGCGGTTTTTTCCTCGCAATGATACGTCAAAAAAATCCGTTTTTGTCTTCTTTTGATCCGTCCTGATCTGGATAATGCTTCTTTCTGCTGCTTCCACTTCCACCTCTGCTCGTGGATGCGGGATGCTTTGCGGGATCTGATGTGGCGTCGTTTTGTTTTTGTTCTGGGACTGCAGCTGTCAGACCGCGAAGTGACGGTTGGCGTGAAGGTCGCTTGAGAAAAGTGGTGTCGCTGGGGCTGGAGACAGTGAGGAATGGTATTTGAAGTGCATTACATTCTACGTTTCCGTTCGATTTGGTATCGTTTCCAATAAAGGTAAACTATTTGAAATAAGCAGTACACAAGTTTTAACGCGGAAATTGATTGCTATCAAGCTTTATTCGTAGTCAAGAATAGTCAAGATTGATGTGCATCCTGGTTCTCTACTTACAAAGTTGAGAGACTCCATTTTCAGAGACGCAAAAAATAATAATTCATTTTCCAGTTTGTTCCTTGTGAGCGAGGGGCGCATACGATCAGAATTGCCGTATGATGATGCATGGACGATAAGATCAACTCAAAATTGAGTTGATTTTAACGTACATTTTTTAACATTCAATTTAATTAAATTTAAATATTATTAGTTGCGCGAATCCCTCTCCACAGTGCTGGCAAGTGTCGTTAATAAATAATAATAATAATAGTAATAACAGTGCTGGCATCGGATCACTTTGACGGTTCAATACAGTCTATCAATCTTGTACACGCTAACTTGAAAGTACTCATTAATGAGTAAAAAAAGACCCATTTTGAAGAAAAGTGGCTTAACTCATTAATGATTAAACAATTTTACCCATTAATGAGTATCTGTTACCCATTAATGATTAACAATTACTCATTAATGGGTAAGAGATACTCATTAATGGGTAAAAAATTTACTCATTTAATGAGTTAAGCCACTTTTCTTCAAAATGGGTCTTTTTCAACCATTAATGGGTACTTTCAAGCTAGCGTGTATAACACTGTTTGAAACTTGGCAAGCATGCACTGGCAGGCACAGGGTGGGGCAAGGTGGGGCAATTGCCCCTCCTTTTATAAATAAATTTTTTATATCCACATTTACAAAATTATGATATAAAATAAAACCTTTAATTGCGTCAATTCCTTTGAGATGGTTCCTGATAAGTGCACCACAAAAATGCATGAAGGGACAAACTTCAATGAAATTTTTTGGTCAAAAAATTGCACCACAGTGGTGCATACAAAAAATTCCTGGTGTATTTTTTTTTTCAATGTGGTTCATGGAGGATTAAAAGAAGAGGGTAAATTTAAGGTTAAAAAATTCACCTTCGTGGTGATAAATCGAAGAAAAAGCTTTCGATTGAATATTTATGGTGTAAAAATATCATCAAGGTGGTGCATGGAGGGACATCACTCTGCTAAATTATATGAACGGAAAATTTCTGGTGGAAAACTTGCACTGATCTTTAAAATCAAGCTATATTGAAAATGTCTGGTGGAAAATCTGCACCGTTCTGGTGAACGGATGGGTAATAGAGTGATGCAAAATTTGAAATTTTCACTCCACAATACTTAAACGATTCCGAATCGGATCCTGACTAGCCTCTCAAAATTTGAACCCATTTGGTGAGAAACAGAGATGGCACAAACCATTTGAAATTTGTATGGGAATTACTATGGTAAAACCAAGATTTTTGTTCATGTCTATCTAATAATTCACCATATCGGTCTGCTTCAAAAGTTTTCAATTTTACTTGTAGGAAACTTTCCAGTTACAACTTTGCTGAAGACCACTTTTTGATTGAATGCAAGGATCGAAAGTTATCAATGGTTCAATGCGCTGATGTCTTATGATCATGCTCAATCAACTTCTCAGCAGGCAACATTGGTGTTTCTGGGGCGATGAATAGGACACAAAAATCATGGCTACTATGTCACACTGCATGTGTTCTTCTTCTCTCGCGGAAACGACCGTGCAGAACTATTTCATTATGGACGACGCAGTCGATTGTCAAAATACAAAAAAATAGATTTCCGGTTGTAAAAATTCTTGCGTTTCTATACGTTCGCCCGACCAAAGGCGCTGGTTCAGTTTGACTGGAAATTGGTTCATAAAAGTTCCCCTATTGTCTCCTATTTCTCTTAGGATTAGTGGGGAAACAAACCGTCCATGGATCCATGTGTGCTAGATAGGGAAAGACGATTACACGTCAAAAAGGTCTATGAGCTCAGCAAAAACGTGTTTGATCCTGTTTCAGCTCGAGTGAAAAACAGAAAGTCATCGCGAGAATTTTAATGGTAATGGTTATGGTAGTCAGTAAGGTCCATGGATGGTTTTGTAACATCGGTAAACTTCATGTGGAATATATCGCGAATAGGTTGCCTGTAAATTTATAATTACCAATTCGCGATATATTCCACGTAAAGTTGACCGACAACACAAAACCATTCATAGACCTTGCTGACTACCATAACCATTACCATTAAAATTCTCCAACCATAAGTAAAAAGGTTCTAATATAGTTTTATTTCCGAAAATGTATGGAAAAAACAAGAATTTTGAATGTTAATGGTTCTTAACAACCATTCTTAAACCATATGAGAATTTAACAAACCGTGATAATACCGCCAAACAGAGGATTTCAGTAAAGACATCTCGTGGGCTTCTTGCGAAAAACAAGTTTGCTCGGTGACAAGGGGTGAGGCAGCTTTACTCTGAGCTGCTTTTTTGCAGCAAGTAACTCGTGAGTAACTCAATGTACATCGAAATTCAATCGACGTTCATCGATTTTTTCTCTCTGCCTACTCCGTTTACTCTTTTTAAAAAAAATTATCTCATGAAAGACGTCAGTTTTGTTTGTAAACATAGTATGATTGTTTAGATCTGCTTTTAAAACGTTGTGAATCCCAGTACCACTTGGATCAAAAGGAATTTTTTTTCCGGAAAATGGCTCGATCATTGCTGGGAATGATTCCAAAGGGGGCCTCCGTCACCAGCTGCTGTAACTGTTTTGGAAGTGATTTTTGTTCGTACTCTTCCGTCTCGAAAAGTTAGATATGAATTAACTGAAGGTAGGTGGAAACATGCTATTTGTTCTCATAATATAACCAGAGGAATCCTTTTCAGATGTCCACCGAGGAGAACGTGAAATCTCCGGTATAGAAGAGGCCAGAGTATCCAGTGTAGTCGCAACTGCCGAAGCCGGTGAGTACGATCCTCGATCGTCGTCCGGACTTAAATCCCATCATTGATCTACTGGACGAAATCGAATCCTGCATATGGTTCAGAAAGAGTGGAAGGAAAGGGTCCTTGGCAATCTGATCTGAACAAGTACATGATCATCGCTATCGACTTTGCCGACAAGAAACTGAAGAAAGAAACATGCTCCGGATATCCAGTTTTCCATGCTCGGTAATAGCGGCCTGTTTGTATGAATAAATGTATCCTTCACTGTGCTTTTTGACACTTTTCAACCCCTTCCCTTTCTCTCTCGCAGGAACAGAAAAAAATGGAGCAACATACGCCCTCCAGTTAGTGTCAAAAAGCACAGTAAAGGATACATTTATTCATACAAACCGGCCGCTATTACCGAGCATGGAAAGCTGGATAATACATAATTGAAAAAATACATACTCAAACGACCGAAAAAAAATATCCAGCTTTCTATGCTCAATAATGGCGGCCTGTTTGTATGAAACAATGTGCTTTTTGAACCCTCCCATTCCCTTTCCCAGGAACAGAAGAAAATGGAACAATATACGCCCTCTAGTAAGTGTCAAAAAGCACAGTGAAGGATACATGATACATTAATTTATTCATACAAACAGGCCGCCATTATCGAGCATAGAAAGCTGGATATTTCTGCGTCTACGTCAAGTGAAGTGTGTTGTGGAGGACGTACTGTTGTTTCCCGGGATAAAGTACAATTTTTTCTCGATCCGACGCCTAGAGCAACTCGAAATGCAAGTGCTGTTTGTGAACAACGAAGTCTTCATTGAGCGGCATGGTGAAGTGCTTTGTTGTGCCAGACGGAAGGATCGGTTGTACGAACTGAACGTTGATATCGTTGAGTAAATTAAATCGGAAGTGTTAATTAGTGTGATACCGAAGAACGAAGATGAACTGTGGCATAAATGGTGAATGGCCTTGTGCTGAAGAAGATTGCTGTTCCTGCTATAGCTATAGCTATAGGGCTGTTTGTGAGTCTTGCATGAAAGCTAAGCAGACAAGAAAGCCGTTCAAGGAGATGCCATTACCACTGAGCTCTTGACCCCTCGAACTGATCCACAGTGATGTGTATAGAGCAGTCTGGAACGGTAAGTGCCATTTTATCACTTTTACTGACGGTTTCACTCACTTTAGTGCAGTCTAAAGATGAGACATTGAATGCCTTCCAAACGTATGTGTCCATTAGACTGATGCTAAATTTGAAATTTTCGCTCCACAGTGCTTAAACGGTTCCAAATTGGGTCCTGCTTAGCCTCCCAAAATTTAAACTACTTTAGTAAGAAACTGACGTGGCACAAACCGTTTCAAGTTTATATGGGAATTACCGAGGGAATTACTATGGGAAAACTTATGTTTTTGTTCATTTCTATCTCAAGAGCAAATTTTCATTATGTCGTAAGTAACATTCGCACCAATCCGAGAAAAATAAAGTTTTGTTTTGATGACCGAAAAGTTATTCCTATTTCCAAGTAAACACATATAATCTCATAGTGATAGCAATGTTTAACATATTTAGCAGGGTTTTAATCATACAAATGCAAATCGCTAGCTTTCATGCTAAAAAATACTGGTTTTTGAGTCAAAAGTTATTATACGTCGTTTGGTGGCCCCTATTGTTACTTAAGTCAAAGTGTATTTACCAGGATATTCGGGAGAATTATCAATTACGTCTCCTTACGTGCAGCCCATTCATCATTTTAGGACCACCGAAATCATCTTAGCAACAAACAGTTCAATTTATTCACTTTAATAATGAGAAAGAGAAACGACGAACGTACACTATTCACGGGTTTCTCAGCGCTGTTACTTAAGTCAAACGGCATCTCCATAGAAATTGGGTGACTTAAGTAACATCGAAAACTATTTTGATCGGAAGGTGATTACGTCAAAAAG